TTTGAAACGACATGAGGGTGAGTAATTAATGACAGAATTTAAATTTTTGGGTGAACTAACCCTTTAAATGCCATTAGTTGAACTTACGTGTGCTTTTCCAACCCACTTAAGTGGACTTAAGTTAATTTTTCTATGCAGTTTCATAATTATTGTCTTTGAAATATGGGTAAGTGTACTGCCCAATGTACTAACAAGCATTTATGCAAGTATTTAAAAAAATTAATAAAATGTAATTAATTCATTCATTACATTTATATAGCGCTTTTCTAGGCACTCAAAGCGCTTTACATTGCGTCTCCTCATCCACCACCAGTGTGCAGCATCCACCTGGATGATGCGACGGCAGCCATATTGCACCAGAACACACACCTCCCATCCAGGTACTGACCAGCTCAACCCTGCTTAGCTTCAGTGGGTAACCAGTCTTGGGCTACAGGGTGATATGGCTGCCAGCCGAAAGTACAGTACAAGTGCACATTCAGTACACTCAAGTGCACTTTTTCTTCCCTGTAGACACAGGCTGAATTCAGTACATTTTTCACACTCACCATATAGAAATACGAGAGGCAACATCCGACAGTCCAGAACACTGATCCAGTTTTGATCGACTTCACCTGAACAAACACAGAAAACTCACTTCCAGTTCAATTCAAAAAGCCACGCCGAACTTCCTCCAGCGCTTCCTCTTACCCACAGGAAGTAGGTGAACTGCAGGGCGAATATGGCGACGGCCTCGTTATCGAAGGATCCGGCCACTGAGCGTGAGATGTATCCGGGCACGACGGCCATGAAGCAGGCGGACAGAAGCCCCGCCCCCTGACTCCACAGCTCCCGCGTCAGCAGGAAGGTGGCGACGGCCGTCAGAGCGCTGAAGACGGGCGCCAGGAACACGCAGACGTCCCGGATGTGGACGGTCAGATGGACAAGGTTCAAGATGTAGTGAATCAGACCTGCAGTCACCATCAGACCAGGATAGACCTGCAGGAACACACAGGAACCGGTCTGAGCTCCACATGAAGCTCCTCAGATAAATCAATAGTTCAGACGTGAATGAACTGAATCTCGACTCACCGTTCCTCCAACGATTCGACCCAGAGGATACCAGGCTCTCTCATCGAACCAGTTGAGGAACTCGTAGAAACCGTTGGTGGTCAGATGATGGGTGGATCTGTAATTAAACCTGTTCACAAACACACATGAATATTCACAGACTGCTGCACATGCAAATGAGACTCAGAGCAGAGGTTTGGCTGATGTCAAACATGAATGTAACGTCATTTGTGCGTTGTGATGTTTCTGCTCTTCTTTCAGAATGTCTGACAGCTTATCTGGAATCAGTCCATCATCACATATATGCTATGAATTATGACAGACTTTACATTCTGATGATGAAGCTATAACAAGCTCACGACATAACAAATAAACAACAATGTGCTTATGACATATAAACGAATAAATAAATAAATGAATAAAATTAATAAAATAAAATGAGCTCATGACAAATAAATAAATGAATAAATAAATAAATGAATGAATAAAGACAGAAAGTAAAGAAAGTATATGAAGATAATAATTCAGTTCTAGATTAATGAAAATATAAATAAATAAACAAATGAACTCATGACAAATAAATACATAAATAAATAAAGACAGTCAAAACACAGAAAGTTAAGCAAGAACATGAAAATAATAATTTGGTTCCAGACGACTGCATGCATGAATTAATGAAAAATAAATAAATAGCTTATAACAAGCTTATAACAAAAATAAACAAACATACGGTATGAATTATGACAGACTCTTCCTCATCTTCTGAAGGCATGAGCTGTAAACAATGACACTGCACTTCCTCAGATACTGAGCGAACATGAACATCATCTGCATCCGTCAGTCTGGATCAGACCAGCATCTGTGAGCACAACATGAGAACATCAAAAGCTTCTGGACACAATGAGAGAAACTCACAAACTCCCACTGAGCATCCTCACACACACACACACACACACGCATTCAAACACACAACAGACAGTCTGAGCGGATGACAGGCTGAGTGTGTATGTGAGCTGATCTCAGAGAACCCATTTCTCTGCTCTAGAGGTTGTGAAACCAGTGCTGGTAATCCATCACAGATGACACACACACACACACACACACAGACAGACATTATTTTAAGACAATCAGTCCTCAGTAATCAGTTTTCTCCAGTTTTCGGTGTCTATGACAGATTCTGTTGTACAGTCAAAGGTGTCAGAATGAGACTCTACACAAGAACACAATCTGAATTAAAAATCAAACTGATACTGATAACAAACACACCTGATCTGATTTAAAAAAAGAACTGAACTTATTAAAAACACAATTCATCTGAATGCAAAACAAACGGATCTGATTTAAAACACAAATGATATTAATTAAAAATCCAACTGACATGGATTACAAACACAACTGGTCTGAATATCAAAACCAAATTTATATAAAAAAACAACTGATCTGAAATCAAATGTGTGTGTATGTGTGGCAGTCAGTCACCGCACCGGTGTGGATATTTACTGTACTTCGCAATCACAGATTCTAGCCTACGTCTTGGAATATATGACCTAAACTGAAATTTCAACTCAACAATGTTCACGTTTCCCTGGTTTATTCCACATATTCAATATCACCTGAAATAAATGCCATTACGGACAAACTACAAGCCAGAACCACAATAAAAATACTGAACTGATCTCTGTGATGTCTCTAATCAAACTGATCCAGGAACATCAGCAGCTCATAACAACATTATTCATCATGATCTCAACAGGATTACCGAACTCAGATTGAGTGTTTAAGTCGAAATCAAAAGGAGCTCAAGATCGGAGTGTGACACTGAATCACGTGAGCCTGAAGGAGGAGGAGGAGGAGGAAGAGTCATGCAATGACAGTAGAACAGAAGAAATGTAGCCATGTTGTCTCCAACACTGGATGGATGAAGGTTTTCAGACAAGATGTTTCCAGCTCAGCATCCTCTCACTTCACACACAAATTCACACAAGAATGACAAAAAACTCACAAAGTACAGAATGAGAAAAAAGTTTAGAGAGACAGAGGAGCCTGAATTCACCATGAACAAAGAGAAGAATGAAAGAGAGACAGACAGACAGAGAGAGAGACAGGTGGAGGTGAAATAAATGTGATGGACGACAGGTTCTTTTTTGGGACAATGGATAACACACACACAGAGTGACCCATTTCTACCTTCTGGGCAGCTCTAAATCTAGAATTACAATGAATAAAAACTTAAATAACTCAACAACCCAAAAACATGTTACATGTTAGTTAATTTGACATCTTCTGATTACTGATTTCATCATAAACTTACAGTTTTTAAGCTAACTACCTAAACAATAGGTATAAGACAGAGAGACAGAGAGAGAGAGAGAGAGAGAGAGAGAGGATAGATAGATAGATAGATAGACCCCTCCACAAAAAAAGAGAGATGAGAGACTGAAGTGATCTCGTGTGTGTGAATCAATAAGACATTAAAGTGACTCTAAGAATAAGAAGTTATCACAAACGACTCCAGGATGTTTGATCCATTCAAAACTCAATAAAACACCAGTGAAAGATCTCAGCTGTGCTCGACAGCAGAACAGAGAACAAACACAGACGTCTGGCTGAATCTCCTGCATCTCAGATGTACAAAGACCCCTGTAATCACATGTCTCCTCATTTTCTGAGTGAACTATTCCTTTAACTACTCTAATCATTCAGTCCTAGATTAACAAACACCATGAGAACAAACACAAACCTGCCGTGAGTAAATGAGCTTTATATTCATTAAAATTATTAAAAAACGGTCACGCATTGAAGCAGCAAGAAACATCCTGATCACAGTTTTTGTATTCAGACTCTGATCAGAACAGACGTATAATGAGGATTTACATGAAAATAAAGCAGGTGGAGCATTACTAGAGCTTCATGCTGAAGATAACCACCATCTGTTAGAGAATAATCTGATTCGTTTGACATGGAGAGATTCATTAATGATGTAGTGGGAACTCTGTTCACTTCACGGCATGATCAGAAGAAACCAGCACCGGTTTCATCCTGATCAGAGATTCAGAGCTGGTCTGAGATCAGTCAGAAACCATTCAAATCTCACAGGGAAATGCTTCAGCTCTTATAAGACTCCAAAAAGATTCAATTCATCAATGTTTGATTCATTTTACAGTCAAACATGACCTGATCTTACACTGCCAGAGCACTGAAGAGAAAGGCATAATGTGTACTGCATACTACACACTGCATCAATGTCAGGAATTATTATGGTTTATTAAGGGACAATATTTTCCCCCTAGAATTTAATTCTGAGGATAATTTTTGTTGCTTAATGGGGGCATGTTTTTCCTACCAAATAAACACAGAGAAAATGTCGTCTATGCAAATAACTAATTTATTAATACGAATTGTCAATCTGAACAGTTATGTCAATAATAAACATATAAAAATATGTACACTATAAAAAAAAATAAAAAATAAAAACAACATCAAAAGGGTCATTCCATGTCAAATCAACCAAATTTCACAAACTTCAAATTTTTTATTTTTGTCAATATATTTTCTGAATAAAGACAAACATGTATGCAGTGATCAAATCCAAAATATTAAATGTCAAAGATGTATATTTACGGAGTAATCCACTATTTTGTAGAGGGGAGGTCAAATTGACAATTTTCACCTGAGATTAGGGCTGCATGATTAATCGAATGCGATTGTCATGCGCATTTTGTTAAAAAAGCCGGTTCTGTAATCAGCAAGAAATCATCATCACGTGCTTTCAGATGGAGCAGCATTTACTACACATAGCCGTAGTTCACTGACAAGTTACGCAAAAAAATCGCAGACGATTTTATTGCGCGATTCTGAAATCGAAGGTTACTTATCTGAAAAAGTAACTCAGATATTCTCTTGTAAATTAAAAAGTAATGCGTTACTTTACTAGCTACTTGAAAAAAGTAATCTGATTAAGTAACTCGCGTTACCCCCAACACTGGTGCTAATGACTAGGAGTGGCATTATATTAAAATAATTACATTTAATAAAATAATTAAAATGATTAAATTCTATAATTCCGGATGTTTCAAAAACTGAACAGATTTTGTTTTATCAATTTTGTTGTTTGTGAAGTTATTTTATTAAATTATTTTTACTCACAAATCGTAAACTCGCAATTTACACCCAATAAATTATTTTAGCACTTGACATAACTAGAAAAATTTGAATAGGTTATAAAACTTTTCTTTGAGGATTTTTCAAGATTTTATTGACTTTTCCAAGTCAAGAAATCAGACTTTTAAAATTGCCTTATTCATCCAGGTTTTACAAGACCCTAAGAATCCTGGTTCTTGGCAGTTTTTGAGGGAATGAATTAAAATAATAAATATTTTCTTTTCAAATTTTTTTTTAGCCTACTTAAATGTTTTTTGATTTATTTTAAATGATTTAAGTTGAAAACATTTGAAATCAGTGAGATATATGTTAAGATTCATTTGGTTGAGAACATTGCACATTATGTATTCTCACTGAGTCTTTCAAGTTAGAAAGAGTCACGAGAAACTTCAAAGAGCTTCTGTGACATCAAGTGATTTACAGTGAAATCTCTTCAAACGTCTGAATATGCCGACAAAACCGATCCTTTGAAATGTATGCATCTGAAAACCTGATGAATGTTTTTTTATTTATTTTAAATGATTTAAGTTGAAAACATTTGAAATCAGTGAGATATACAGTGGGTACGGAAAGTATTCAGACCCCCTTAAATTTTTCACTCTTTGTTATATTGCAGCCATTTGCTAAATTATGTATTCTCACTGAGTCTTTCAAGTTAGAAAGAGTCACGAGAAACTTCAAAGAGCTTCTGTGACATCAAGTGATTTACAGTGAAATCTCTTCAAACGTCTGAATATGCCGACAAAACCGATCCTTTGAAATGTATGCATCTGAAAACCTGATGAATGACAAAAATGATTTTGCGTGTGTTGATGCTCTAAAATAATACTTTTTTCAAAGCATTTACCATAGCAGGAGGAAAACACTGTCATCAATTTCCTTTAGTGCTTCTTAAAGAGAAAAAGATTCATTGAATCTCTTCAGATGCCCTCTGCTGTCATCATCAGTCTCTATGCAGTTACATTCATG